TGTTTAAGTCCCAGCTTGACAAGGCCCTGGGTGGGGATGATTGAGTCGGGGTTGGTCCTGCTTTGGTCAGGAGGTTGGACTTGATGACTCCTGAGGTCTCTTCCAGCCCTAGGATTCTATGATATGATTCTATGGTCATCCATGGTGGGGTCAGCTCTTACTGGTGTCTGGGGATTCGAAACATCTACCAGTTTTTCAGCTCAGCAATACTTCTCTTGGGTCTGTGGAGAAAATTGGCTAGTTGGGCTGTATGGTGTCAAGGGCTGTGTCTACATTGGTAAACCCTTTCCGGAAAAGGGATGCTAATGAGACCAGTTGGAATTGCAAATGTGGTGGGGGATTTAAATATCCCCCGTGGCATTTGCATGAACATGACTGCCGCTTTTTTCCGGCTCGGGGTTTTGCCAGAGAAAAGCGCCAGTCTAGACAGGATCTTGCGGAAAATAAGCCCTTTTCCGGAAGATCCCTTATTCCTCCTTGAAAGTAGGAATAAGGGATCTTCCGGAAAAGGGCTTATTTTCCGCAAGATCCTGTCTAGACTGGCGCTTTTCTCTGGCAAAACCCCGAGCCGGAAAAAAGCGGCAGTCATGTTCATGCAAATGCCACGGGGGATATTTAAATCCCCCACCACATTTGCAATTCCAACTGGTCTCATTAGCATCCCTTTTCCGGAAAGGGTTTACCAATGTAGACACAGCCCTTGACACCATACAGCCCAACTAGCCAATTTTCTCCACAGACCCAAGAGAAGTATTGCTGAGCTGAAAAACTGGTAGATGTTTCGAATCCCCAGACACCAGTAAGAGCTGACCCTTGTAAACTGCCTTGTAAATGCCTTTCAGACTGCAGGAAACCTGACTGTTGTAAGCTCAGGCTGAAAAGGAGAGACCTGGGTTCCACCAGTGACAAGTCCCTGCGAGAGCAAATTGGCAATCGCCACAGATGCCCCATAGGGAACTGCAGAGTACAGTTAGAGCATCAGGAGGGTGTAGCAGGCTTAGTAAAAGATGCAACCCAATCTCGAGTGTGCTACAGAAAGGGAAGATCTGAGACAGAGGGAAGAGAGTGAGTCCCTAGCTGTCCTGATGGTCTCTTCTAAGGAAATTGACTTTCTCTGGTCCCCTGTGTTAAAACAACTCACAACGGGCACCTGCCTGATAACCATATAGCTTTCTTGTTCGCCTCGTTTTTCTCTCTCTGCGGTTTCTATTAACCATTCTATCGTAAGTTGCTAATATAGGCACATTCTGAGCATCTCATCTGCCTCTGGGAACTAAAAGGCGTTTTTTACCTCTCCTTTACCGTATTCTATGGGACACTGACAATTGCGTGTGTCTTCCCATAACTACACTCCTCTTGCCTTGTGCCAAGTATCCCATAACAGCATTGCCCGCATTATCTGAAGTCATTGTTGGCCGAGGTAAATTGGACAGTTGTCCAGATGAGGCTCTATGATTCTTTTACCATGGCGACAGATAGGGAGTTATATTCAGAGGCATGTATTGGATTGACCCAAAGACATGGCCGCAATTAACGTTCATCTTCCTATAAAATAAGAAGAGAAGACTGAGGGGGGACGTGGTTTTCAAGTATCTAAAAGGGTGTTAAAAGGAGGAGAGAGAAGATTGTTCTCCTTGGCCTCTGAGGACAGGACAAGAAGCAATGGGCTTCAACTGCAGCAAGGGAGGTTGAGGTTGGACATTAGAAAAAAAAACTTCCTGCCTGTCCGGGTGGTGAAACACTGGAATAAATTGCCTAGGGGGGTTGTGGAATCTCCATCCCTGGAGATATTGACGAGCAGATTGAACACACCCCTGTCAGGGATAGTCTAGGTGGTGCTTGGTCCTGATGTTTGGCAGGGGACTGGACTTGATGACCTCTCAAGGTCCCTTGCAGTTCTAATGTTCTAGGATTCATATGAGAACCCCCGACAAACCTCATAGTAGGCTTGGACCTCATTTACCCATATTTACGCTGTAGACTCCATCCAATTCCAAAGAAATAACCCCTAGAATTCGAATCCAGAGACATGCATTTTAACCAGGGTTCATTCTCGCCTATCTGTGGTGTTTTTGGCCCTCTCTCTGTGCCCCATTGGAAGACAGTTGATGGTATTGCCAACAACGGAACTTTCAGGGTCAGCTGAGGTGGATGAAACTGGAGCTCTCTACATAGCCTCAAATGTTCTTGGGAAGCAATAGAGTTAACGGTTCTTTCCGAGTTCTTTTAGGCAATTATTTGAATTTACAACCTACAGAAATACCGACAGAGATGACATCATCTCATAGGAAGGAGAATCTTCCAGCCAGGAGAGCATTAACTCTGGGGAAGGGACGATCATGAAAGAACACCAAGAAATGGCACAGTATTCAGACATCCAGGTCAGAACCCAAACTCAGTTTAATGGATAATAGAGAACTATCAATAAGACTCTTCGGTCAATCCATGAAGAATGGAAGTGAAGAAAGACACAGCTTCCCCACCACCATTCTTCATAGAGATCATATATTTTGTAACAGAATTAAGATGCATTTTCTGCATGATGAGTCATTGGAGGTGTCAGTTGAAAAGTCGTGATTTGCTGCCTCTGATTATCCTATTGTATGCATGTCTCAGATCTCTATCTAAAGTTATGAATATTGACTTGACATCTGGGTTTCCAACACAGTTACACCTGAACAATTCCCACGTGGCAAGATGTTGACGTTGACACAGTTGTTTGTGAAGGGCCTATTTCGGGTAATGAGCCAGTAAGGGAAAAATAGCCCTTAGGAGACGTTCATCTCGCACCAGCTGAGCCTCGCTGGAAACACTCCCAAGAACCTGTAGCTAATGGTTGTTGGGACTCTCCAAGAGCTGATGACCAAGCCCCATGTGTCTAGACTCTGTCTGGGGATGTCTGTATTTTTCCACCCACTTTTTTTTTCAGAATCAGGTTTTCAGACAAAGGGTTCCTGTTGTACATTAAAGCTATATAAGGTGGGGTATGATCTCTTCAATTCGTCATCACGCCACACTCAAGAGGACTCCTGGAAAAATGTGAGGAACAAAGGCCGAAAAGGGGGAATTGCTGGGCACAGGATTTGCCGGGTAGTTTATGGGAACTCAGCCTTCACCACGAATGCAGCTTGTGCCGTGAGAATCTGCCTGTTTGCCGGTATCATCAGTCAGGGTGAGAAACTGCCCCGGCATTATTAATCTAACCATTGTGTAATGTCTACTTTGTAGTGTTGTGTATTTGCTGGTAATCGGCTCTGCCCTGTTTCCTAGCCTCATCATCACTTCTACAGCAAATACATTTATTTCAAGCTTACCCTGCACCCGCCTGGCTCATAGTGATGTGTCAGGGGAGAAAAAAAAAATCACAGTGTGCTTGGTTAGCACATGGGTGCATGTTCCCCTCCACATTGAGGGAGCGGTGAACCCCGTAACAAAATCTTACTGCTCAGTGGTTTGACCTGGCAGTACAGTGTAGCCCTGGGACCCTAAACTGTGGTTGTTATCTCAACTGTAACATCTCTATTGTTGCTCCTCCAAGAGCCTGCATGTACCTGCAGCGGGGCTACCTGTGTCAATGCGAAGAGCAGGGTCAGCAGCTTGCAAGATGGAGCCTATACTGGTGGATTGGAGGTATCAATGGAACCACTATTCTAGTTAGCACAGTGGGGAGACCCATCACAAGAAGACACAAGGAGTCATTCTTCTGCTCTACTCTGTACCAATTAGGCTTCAGTTGCAATATTCTGACCAGTTTTGGGCACCACATTTCAAAAAAGCGGTGGAGAAATTGGAGAAGGTCCTGAGAAGAGCAACAAGAATGATGAAAAGTCTAGCTATGAGCTATGAGGGAAGGCTGAAGGAATTGGGCTTGTTAAGTTTGAAAAGGAGAAGACTAAAAGGGGACATGGTAGCAGTTTTCAGGTATCTAAGAGAGTCAAAAGGAGGGAGACAAATTGTTCTCCTTGGCCTCCGAGGACAGGACAAGAAGCAATGGGCTTAAACTGCAGCAAGAGAGGTTGAGGTTGGACATTAGGAAAAAATGGTGAGGGGCCATTTCAAAATAGCAGCTGTGGAGCGTCTTCACATGTCTTTTTTTGGAATAGCTATTTTGGGAGAGGCGTTATTCCTTGTAGAAGGAGGATTACAGATTTCAGATTTAGTTTCTATTTCAAAATAGTTTACTTAAAATAGGGAGGGTCTACACAGCACTTATTTTGGAATAGAGCGCTCTTCCCCCAACTTCCCTTCGGGTATGTCTACTCTAGCTCGTTAGTTCGAGGTAGGTAGGTAAATGAGGGCAACCGGAGTTGAAAATGAAGCCCGGGATTTAAATATCCCGGGCTTCATTTGCATGTTCCTGGGCGCCGCCATTTTTAAATCCCCCTTAGTCCGAACTAACTGTTCCACGAGGAGTAACAGTTAATTCAAACTAAGGAGATAGTTCGAATTAACGTTTAACTGCCGCGTCTAGCCGAGGGCAGTTAGTTCGAACTAAGGGCGATTAAAAAATGGCGGCGCTCGAGAACATGCAAATGAAGCCCGGGATATTTAAATCCCGGGCTTCATTTTCAACTCCGGTTGCCCTCATTTACCTACCTACCTCGAACTAACGAGCTAGAGTAGACATACCCGAAGGGAAGTTGGGGGAAGAGCGCTCTATTCCAAAATAAGTGCTGTGTAGACCCTCCCTATTTTAAGTAAACTATTTTGAAATAGACTATGCAATTGCTATAGTTCATTCTGAAGTGTAGACGTACCCTTAGATTGGACAGTCCTGTAATTCAATGGGGTTCATGATTTTGGTCCATCAATTCTGGCATCTCAGCCAGTGACTTGTAGGAGATTTTCTCTGCTTATTGACAGCTCCATTGTTTCCTCAGGCAGAGTTGTGGTGGTATGAGGTTAGCTACTCCAGATATCTGATAGTGACACTGACTGCACAACCGGACTCCCTGCGCTCCATCAATATTTCATAGCTTTCTTTTTTCTAGATGCCTATTATGGGGGAAGAGGAAGGAAGAAACCAAACGTTCATCCTGGAATTCATCCTCTTAGGGTTTGGGGAGGCCCCTGAAATGCAACCCCTCCTCTTCCTCATCTTGCTTGTAATCTACCTTATGACGTTGGTTGGGAACACCCTCATTGTTGCTCTAGTTGTCACGGAACAGCAACTTCACACCCCCATGTATTACTTACTATGGAGCTTGGCCTGCTTAGAGACTTGTTTCTCCTCCGCCATCCTACCCCGGCTGCTGGCCAGTCTCCAGACGGGAGACAGAGCCATCTCCGTTAAAGGCTGCTTTGTGCAATCATATTTCTTTGGCGTCATGTCTGCTACTGAAACTCTGCTGCTGACGGCCATGTCCTATGATCGGTATTTAGCGATCTGCCACCCCCTTCGTTACACTGCCCTGATGAACGGCTCCATTTGCATCCAGCTGGCGGCGTGGTCCTGGATAAGTAGCTTTCTGGCTTGTGCCATAGTAGATATTTTCTTCTTCCAACTAAAGTTCTGCCATGGCAAAGAAATTGACCATTTTTTTTGTGATTTTACAGCCATGCTAAAGCTGTCCTGTGATGATACCCAGTTTCTCCAGCTGGTGGCATTTACAGTCGCTGTCATATGGACACTTGTGCCCATGCTATTGACCCTGGTGTCCTATGTGTGTATCATCATCTCCATCCTGAGGATCTCCTCCACCACTGGGAGGCTAAAGGCCTTTTCCACCTGCTCCTCCCACCTCATCGTGCTGACCGTTTACTATGTGATCACAATTTGTGTCTATTTGGTTCCAATCGTCAACACTGCCACCGTACACAAAAAAATATTCTCTTTCATCTGCACAGTCCTGCCTCCCATGGTCAACCCGGTCATCTACTGCCTGAGAAACAAGGAGGTCAAAGCGTCCCTGAGAAAAGCTTTTTTGAAACTGGTTGATTTTAGCAACACGCATAGAATCAGAAAGGACGCATTTTAGCATAGAGTACGGTAGACAAAAATTGATCTAGTTTTTTAGACATGAACCATGGTTACCCCTTAGGCTATGTCTAGACTACATCTCTTTCAAAAGAGGGATGTAGTTTAGACATGCCCTTATTGATGAAATCTTTCTTTCTTTCTTTCTTTCTTTCTTTCTTTCTTTCTTTCTTTCTTTCTTTCTACCAAAGCTCAGCTGATTGAGGTAATGTCTACACTACACTTTTTTTCCCCAATTTTTTTCAAAGAGGCTTTTCTGGGCCAAATTTTAGGAAAACCTCCTCTTTTGGAAGATCCTTTATTCCTCATGAAAGAAGGTTCACATGGCTTCTGAAATAGCACATCTGCTCCTTCAGAAAAAAAATTGGAAGAGCAAACGCATTCCTTGGATGTGGCAGAGGTTTTCTGGGAAACACTCTGTAGTCTAGATGTACCCTGAGATAACTAAAGCCTGTCCATGGTAGAAGAGACTGGACAGTAGAGTGGAAAGGCTAAACTCATATTCCAAAACTCTGAAGGAAGGTTTAGAGATGGGGGCAGCTGGCAACACATCCAAGAAAAGCAACACAGCTTTGCAACAACACAAAAACCCCCACGGGTACAGCCATCCAGCCTATCTGAAAATGTTTGATGCTTGTTCCATCCAGGCGGTATGGACATTAAAGTAGTTGGAGTGACTATGCCCCCAAAATTCTGCACAGCTATGGTATTATATGAGTAGAGCACAATTCTGATGTGTTTGTGGATGACGCGACATTGAAGGTGTGCTTTGAAAAATTATGATTTGTGAAATATGATTGTTCTGTGTAGCCCAAGGCCCAGTGGGCTTCAGTAGCAGCCCTGGGAACTACAAGTTGTGGACAACAAACTGCAGTGAAGTGAAGGGTTTGGGGAAAGATCCAATCTTGGTTAGCAAAAGTGTGCATGGTCCTCTCCACTTTGAGGGGAGGATAAACCAGGTAACAAAATCCTTTTACACGGTGTACTGACCAGGGTAGGGTTTTATTTGAATATTTCCTTCCTTCCTTCCTATTACTCTATCATTTAGCATTCATCTCTCATATATTTAAATCACACTTCTTTATAAAAGCTTGATATTGTAAGAAACATGCATCATGAAAAGTAGTCTTTAATTTCCAGACATGTAAACTACTCTGTGTGAGTCATCTGCATATAAATGCTCATAGACACATTTGGCAAGGGGTTGAAATATCTGGTGAGTGCTCCTGGGTCTTTTCCACTCCCACGGAATCTCTCAGCCCTCATTCCTGCACTAAGGAGGGTCCTTTTTTTGTCAATTACACTTCTGAGAAGTGGGTGAAATGTTGACACCGCAGTGAATGGGGAACTGTGCTTGGGCAGCGTTCCATGCTGATGGGTAGCTGGATAAACAAAAAATTAAAGACTGGGGAGGTCTGGGAGCCTCAGTGTCCTATGAGGTGAGATTTCTGTCCTGGCCTGATATTATTGTCAGGTAAGGCAATATTAAAATAGCCCAATCTCTACTGATGCTGATATTGGTGTAGGTCTGTAGAATTGGAACAGAATAGGCATCATCAACATTTTCAAAACTCAGAAGACATTGTGAATGAATGACAATGAACAGGAGATGAGCAGGCAAAAGCACTAGGCAACTTTGCAAATCTCTGCCTAGATTTTGTTGCACCAGCCTCAGTCGCTCCAGCCAGAAACGTGCTGTAGAAATAACAACATTTGACAATAATTAAGGAATAAAATCACACTGAGTCTCCTTATATTTGTGATCTTTCTCCAGACTTTTTGGTCCTGTTTTCTGGCCCAAAATATCCATATTCCCTTCCCCTGTTTTTAATCTCATTGAGGCCTGTTGATCCTTTCCCAGCCTCCTAGAATCCCCTGATTACATGCCATGTGAGAGGCACAGACGGGGCTGTATTGATTGCGGCCTTGTGTATGAGGTGTTTTGGAGAAGAGTTGATTTGTTCAGCCCAAAGTTATCCATGAAACTATCTCAACTCAACTGAATATTTTCAGCAAAAATCTGTCAAAATCTTCCAAGACTAAGATGCTGAGAAGTGACCTGCACCTGTGATAATATTTAACCAGGTGTTTTGCACAGTTGTGTGGGGGATTGGGTGGAAAACTCACATCTAATATCACCCTGCCTGATGGGGTTGGGAATCTTCAGTTTCCTATATTGGAAACAAAGTGTTCTCGCTTATGGACTCTTCCCTTATGCTTGAAATTAGGGGGGTAGATTTTCGTGAAGGACCTGGGAAATACACCACCAACCCTTCCTGACCTTCCTTCGGTGCTGGGATGCTAAATCCCTTGCTGTTTTTGAAAATCTCACCTTTGATACGCTGAAGGACTACTCTGAAAAACAACAAGCATCTCCCACAAAAAATGGGGAAAATATTAACCTTGGATTGCAGGCTGGCTGCCAAATCTCTGCCAAAGAGATTTCAATGAAAGAGTCAGAATAACCATTGGTGTGAATCAAAGCACTGGCCATAAGAAAGCTACACGTAGCACAGTTTTTTGGCAGTTTCCGAAAAAGTAGCTACGTTCTTTCAGAAGCCCTGTATTCCTCATTGTATGAGGAACAGGGGATCTTTGGAAAGAGGAGGGTTTCCCACTTTTGGCCCTGTGTAGATGGGCCAAATGTCGGAAAAGCTTTTCCAAAAAAAGTCGTAAAAAGATAAGCAAATTGCATATCTTTTTCCGAAAAAAACCCTGTAGTGTAGACCTACCTTTAGAGAACCCCATTGGGGCAGGATTCTGGAATTTAGGTACCTATAGTGGTGAGGAGCCTGATGTCAACATAATGGAAAGAGAGTGGTTACACCAGGGAAAAAGTTTGAACCATGGGAATGAAAACTCGTTATGACTTCCGCACTATAGTTCAGAGGAAAACCAAAGTTTCCCTTGATTAATTCCCAAAGGTCTTCGTTACAAACCGTCTCCCTCCCAATGAGCTCTATTAGAGAAGACACAGTTTAGAGTCAATTGGGCAATGCTTGTGTTGTGTTTCTATCTCAGTTATTTAAAGCCCAAATTCCCCAGTTGTTGCAAATGGGTGAACTCAAGAGTCTTGGAACAGCTGGCCGGGCTTTCCATTGATATGAATCCAGTTGATGTACTGTCCAAATGTCGGTAAAACATGACAACAATTTGGAAGCTTTGGCCCATTTCCTAGTGGACACTGGTCAAAACCATGGCTACAGCTCCAAATGCAGGACTGGTGTGAAGTCCGTAACTGGAGCGTTGGTTACTCTCTCTGTTAAATAGCATGATTTCCAGACTGTGATTAAATACCCGTAGCTCCTTCAGTCTCCGTCATGAGGCAGTTTTCCAGACCATGAATCAATCACTTTCCCCTGAAAGTATTATAGTGACTCATGATTTTAATGTAGGGCCCTGTCGACTGGAAACAAAATTCTAGTGACACTCTCACTGATGTTTTATACATTTACATGACCAGGAATGTAAGGAGAAATAATCCTTCAGTGGTTTGTGCCTGTTTGAAAGAAGATGTAAGGCAGTTCAGAGAAAAATATTATATTTTTCCAGACAAGAACAGAGATGCACCATTTCTATGCTCGCAAGCACAACACGAAACAACGTCATCCCGTAGATGTTGCGTGAGGGAACATTTTCCTTCCTGGTGATTGCCTGTTGCAGTGAGCAGTGTGTATATCAAGGAAAGACAACAATCATTGCCTTATGCTGGTGTAGCTTATTGCCCCAATTGGTAATACCCTACTACCTTCATAGGGGTGTCACAGGATCTGCACTGGGGCACTTTTAACAGTGCTGGTGTGATGCAATTTATATGTGTACATTAGCTCTCAGGTCTTTCCTTCTCTCTCACTCAGGCCATGTCTACACTACGCGGAAAATTGCTGCTGCCACGGTCAATCTTCCAGATTTGAGTTAGTGGGTCTGGTGAAGACCCACTAAATCAAACTCAGAGGGTATACCCACAATGGTGGTACTCCTGCTCCTCATGAGCACTAAGGGAAACAGATGGGCGTGTTTGCTCCCATTAGCCTCTCAATGTGCGGATAGCGATTTAAGATACGTCGACTCCAACTACATAATTCATCTAGCTGGAGTTGTGTATCTTAAGTCAACCTTCTGCTCCAGTGTAGGCCAGGCTTCAGTGACTTCTTTCTTCTGCTCTCCTCTCCATTTTCAGTTGACTCATTATGGCTTTCTCTTCTGCAACCGCCTCTGAGAAAAGGTTCGCATCCTTCTGTCTGATCAGTTTGGGGCTACAATTTTCAAGAGCAGTGAAGTGCCATGGCTATTTTTTTTTACCACGTATTAGCTAACTTTGTTGTGCAGGAGCTCCCGGTCTTGGTCCAGCATTCCACTGTGCTTGGCTGTGTGCAGACACAGAACAAACAGCTGTTCCTTGCTCCAAAGACCAGAATCCATGGGATTGTTCAGGGCAGGAAATGTGAGCATGAGTGTTTGCAGGATTGGAGTGTTAGGCTGTGTCTAGACTGGCCAGTTTTTCCGGAAAATCAGCCGCTTTCTACACTGGCCACTTGAATTCCCGCAAAAGCACTGACTTCCTACTGTAAGAAATCAGTGCTTTTTGCGGATATACTATGCTGCTCCCGTTCAGGGCAAAAGTCCCTTTTCCGCAAAACTTTTGCGCAAAAGGGCCAGTGTAGACAGCTCAGATTTATTTTCCGCAAAAAAGCCCCAGTCGCGAAAATGGCATTCGGGGCTTTTTTGCGGAAAAGCGCATCTAGATTGACCATGGACGCTTTTCCGCAAAAAGTGTTTTTGCGGAAAAGCATCCATGCCAATCTAGACGCTTTGTTCCGAAAATGCTTTTAACGGAAAACTTTTCCATTAAAAGCATTTCCGGAAAATCATGCCAGTCTAGACGTAGCCTTAGTGTAAGACCAACGGACTGCAAGTCGATACAGAGAGACAAGCGCAAAGATACAACATGACAGCCCTGGCTGGGAAGAGTTGGGGTAGTCTTGGCGCACTAAGAGAGAT